ACGATGACGTTGATCGCGAGATTTTGCTCTCACTTTGTGGGCGTCTTCCCTACGGACCGAATTCCCCCTCTTTCAATATATCAATCCAGCTCGCCAACGTGCCGTACACTTCATCATGCCTTCAACGCTTGTCTGGGTACTCATTGCAGTATTCGTCTGGCTATTCGTCCCAAATCCGTTCGGATCCAAAGAAACCAGCACCACGAGCACGAGCGAGAGCGAAATGCCGTCCAACTGCGCCCGATGCAACAAAGCCGAGGCCGATACCGAGAAAGGCACACTTCAGCGGTGCGCTAAGTGCAAGACAACACCATACTGCAGCCGCGACTGCCAGAAAGATGACTGGAAGAACCACAAGAAGATCTGCGCCCAGCAAGCGCAAGCCAATGCCAATGCCTACGATGGTTTCCCACCCAAAACCGAACACAGTTCCAATTACGCCGCGCCTCGTATGAAGACCCTCGAGAAGCACGTACCGAACCCCTTCACACGACTCGACGACGGAAAGTACCTCCACGACCGCCCCGAGAAAGACGTCTACAGACTCCTCATCGACTCCTTCCGCATGCGCTCCGAAGACGATAACAAGCTGGAGAATAAACCCACACCGAACAGTATCTACACGGGCAAGTCTTCAAGCATCGAGCCATTCCGGAAGTTCCTAGCCTTGGCTGAGACTCGGCGGGGTCTGCTACCTCCGTGGTGGAACGCCGAACACAGGCAAGAGTGCGAGAAGTTCGCTGAGAGCGGCGAATGGAACGACGTGCGGAAGAAGGTCACAAAGGCTGAGATGATCAGCCACTACGGCGATGACAAGGCGCCTATGCAGCTGAGGATGGTGGCGGAGTTTGTGTACGGGTCGGGTTCGAAGGGGGAGAGTGGCACTGCGATGCGCAAGGTGCTGCGTGGCATGGAGGGTGGTGGTCTTGGGCTTGGCAATTTCCTGCCTATGAGCTTGACCAAGGTTATGGGTGGTGGAAGCTGAGTGGCAATACGATATGGAGTATTGTAAGTCGCGTTGTAGTGTTCTTATGCGATGTAGATGGCTGATCTTACTGGTAGCATCACAGCTGGTTCTGAATATGTGCGCATCATACGTATCATCATCTCAATTCATGTCGTCTCCTACATGTCTCATACGCGCGATTCAAACGCCGAGCAGCGTTACCGCCCGTGACCCAGAACCACAACTCAACTGTAAATGCATGACTTGAACGGAAGCATTACCTACTTCCTCTTATGGCCAGTTCTCCCCATCCTCGTCTTCTCTTGCTCTGCTCTCTTAGCTACATCGGCGGCTCTCTTAGCTCTCTGCGCCTCTTTCACACGTTCATCCGCAGCTATCTCAGCCTGCATAGCAGCTTCCGTGTCCCGACGTATCTTTCTCCCGGTCGCCGCACGCGCTTGTCTCATGCCCTTGGCATCTTTACCTTTGAGACCGGTGGGAAGCCATTGCGACGTTCTGGAAGTCTTTTCTGTGGGGACGTGAGGAGGCGACGCGACACCTTCTTGAACTTGGCCGTTGGGGTCAGCTTCAGGCAATGGGGTCGTTGGGGGAGAGGTAGCGTTCTCGTCGGTTTCGCCGTTCGTATTAATGTCGGCGTTCGCGACCATTCCAGCGAGCTCAGCCACATCGCCATCCTCAGGGTCTGGACTAGGGGAGGAGGCACCGTTGTCGAGTATGTCTGCGAAGTCCTCGACTGGAACAGTACCACTTGGCGCCAATAGTCGCTCTATCTCCGAAGCCGGCCAGTCATCACGTACAGCCTTGAAGATGATGTTGTAGCCGTGGCTATAGGGATGTTTCCCGCACCCCTTGGACCAAACTGTGAAGCGCTCGCCGCACTCATCGCAGAACGCTTGTAGACTCGTCAGTGTCCACTAGTGCGACTGGTTTCGCTTTACAGACCGAAATGTAGTTGCCAAAAGCACTTCTTCGACGGGGGTGCCTGAAGCGGCGGTCAGTTAGAGTGGACATAAGGGTACAGACGATAGTACAAGGTGTACCAACCTTGCAGTCTTTGCAATGGTGTGTCAGGCCCAAGACTTTGAGGGTGTTCTTGTTGCAGATGTTGGGGTTGAAGTCGCCTTTGAACATCTCTCCGTATCTCTCGTTCAGGTCTATCCATCCGCCTGCGAGCTTTACCATCTTGGTTGATCTTTGGGGTAAGTAAAGTTGGGCAACTGTATGCATGTGTATATTGGGCCGTAGTGAGTATGGCCAGAGTGTGTAGAGATCGAGGGTCTTGCGGCGCCGAGGCATTTTCGTATAACATTGCTGCCTTCTGGTACGCGCGTTTCATTGAGTTGGGCTAATTCCATGAGGCGTTATGATATGTGCTAGTACCTGCCTTGAAGTGTGGAGACTCTGGTAGCATAGGCAACTGCCTCGACATTCCTGCATGAATTCACTCGATATCGAAAGCAAGACCATAGCAGAGGCCGTAAATGCGAGGACGAGTCAACATTCCAGCCATTTGGAAGTACCTTCCGCTTAGATAAGATGCTTGCATAGCGTTTGCTACGTGATGATCCGTTTCCATCTGTCAACATGTACATCATTCACTATGGCGCGCATTTCACGGGTCTGGACAAACTCGGGCTCCACTTTCGCGCTAGTTCCAATCTGTGAGACTTGTGTGTATGTTGCTCACTTCTTCGATACCTATATATTCTCTCCACCCCGAAACACTACCTTGCTACGGGTAGTTTGACACCCAGCCAACTGACCGAACACCACGCCCACTCCAGCCGATAATCATCCCCGAGTATCTGTGCCAACATGCACTTCAGTCTAACGTCTTTGTTTCCTGGTCTGGCCTCCAGCTTCAGCTCCAAGCGCCCTCAGGACAGCCCTCAGACCAAGCTTCGCAAGACACCGCCTGCGCCGAGCATCGTAAACGATCTCAAAACCCGCGATCGTTCCGGCAAGCGGAATGGTGATCTACCCACAGTAGTATCCATCGCTTGCGAAAAGTTCCGCGATCGATTTGCGCGCCATCGTAGAAGCCAAGTATCACAGCGAGCAGATGTGTCGCACGAAGCCGTTGCTTCACAAACGACCGCACGTTTGCTACCAAGACTCAACGTTGTCTCTGGTATTCTTACCATCATCGAAACGCTGCCCGAGCTACCTCAGCGCTTGCTTACGCCTGAAACTACGACGGATCGTGGAGAAGGTTGGCTCAAAGTAGTTGAGCGTGCCTGCGGCAATGACAACTCCGCAATCCTCGCCCTCATCCAGCGCGAAAATGCTGTCTCGCCCAGCGGTGCCAACTCTGACGAGGAGGTTGAAGACTATAAATCATCCACGCCTAAGTCGGACGGTTCGGTAACCTCTTCTTTAACAAGCGCGTGCTCTGATGGCGAAGCGCTTGACCGCGCGGACTGGGAGCCACTCCGTGCGCTTGACCATTCGAACTTCCAGAAAACCCTTTGGCAACATCTCAACCCCTCCTCCGAGTACTGCGAAGACGACTATCTTTTCTGCGGCGAATATGAGGGTGGCTACAACTTCGTCCGGATATACCGGGTTATCAACAGCCCTGACGACGGCGAATACGTGGTCAAGATTCCTTGCATCGGCACTGCTGCTCGCTGGCAGAAGCAGGATGCGTATATGCTTCGTTCGGAGTTTGGTACTATTGAGTTTATTGGCGAGCGCACCAAGTGTCCCGTCCCTGAAGTCGTGGCCTATGACGACAAGCTGGATAACACGCTAGGTGCGCCTTACATCTTGATGAAGGCCTGCACAGGCAGATCCGCCTCTGAAGTCTGGCACGACGCTCACCCCATTCATAAAGACTGGGATCGGGACACAGTCGACTTTCCTTCCGCGGAACTGGCGGCGAAACGTTCGCGCATGCTTCGTTCGCTGGCTCAGGCCATGGCTGAGCTGCGCCATCTTGAGTTTGATAAAATCGGCGCGCTGTGCTTTGACAATGTTGACGCAAACGGAAAGCCTACCGTTGGTTCGCTCTGGGAATGGAATATCGACCCAGAACTGATATCGGAAGACATGGCCATTGAAAAGGCTCTTACTGAGAAGCCAGTGTACGACTCAGGCCTGGAGCTCTACACGGATGGTCTGCTTGATGTCTGGCCGTTCGAGGGACATGAAGGAAGGCCCGGCGTCATCCATGGAGTCCTGGATGCATTGTTTCGAAGCGACGCTTTCGCGAAATCTGTCAAGCCCGGGGATAGTGAGGAGACCTTCGTACTCCGTCACGACGACCTCAACCTCCAGAATGTCTTCTGCGATCCCGAAACAGGCGAGGTGACCGGTATCATCGACTGGGAGCGCGCTTCCACCGCCCTACGCTCTCTCGGCTACACGTCCCTTCCAAAGTTCTTGACGTTAGACTGGATGCCAGGGTACGAAGTGCTTGATGCGCCGCACTCTCCTTTGTCGCTACAAATGTACCGCGAGATCTACGCCGACGCAATGGTTGAGGCCACGGGAGTAGACGGTGACGGCATGTATACGTCCAAGTCTGCGATGTATCAGGCGGCGCACGCAGCATTGTTTGGTAGTAGTGAAGGTGGCGATATTCGTGACTTCGTCCAAAAGCTGTTGCATGAGGTACCTGGACTGCACCACACGGACCTTGATTTGTATCTGACTTGGCTCGGCGAACACTGGGAGGCGGTTGGTAGCTCTGTTAAGGAGGCTATACGGAAAGTTGCGAAGCCGTAGTTGGGACAAACGACGACGTCTGCGCGACGTAATGATTGCAGCTCTCTTGCTGGACATACCGTTGGGCTGTCGAGGTGAAGGCAGTTCACTAATCCTCTGGTAAATATGGTAGCTTGCCGAGTCAGGGCGCCTCAACCGCGTCTTTATTGCGACTCACCTTTACCTTCGCTACTCCCGAGGTATTTGAGCTACCGCTAGCCTTCTCCTCCATTACACACAACACTTGACACTTCACTTCCTACCCAGTGTTCGCAATCGTCACTACAAAAAACCTAGCTTGGTCTACCTATCCAGCTTCTACACGATGTCTAAGTACAATCATTTCGTGCACGAGCCATTCGATGTTACAGACGGATCAGAGGTCTACACAAAGGAACAGTTGCTCGAAAAACTCCGGGAAGTCTGCCCTGACGAGCTAGCCAGCTTTCCAGCTCCCGATGCGTTCGAGATCAGAGAGCACCATCGCGGCAAATACGCCGTTAAGGTCGGCTACGCACTAACAAAGAAGTCCAGAAAGGTTGGCGACATGCTGTGGGTAGACGAGCGGAAGCGAAAGGATGTTCCGGACTATTCCGAGTTCACCTGGACGCAACAGGCCTACTATAGAACGGAACGAGCATTCAAGATCCGAAGAAGGGAAGTTGGACTCTACTACACCACGAGCAATGACTCTGCCCGCAACCGATATGTCAGGAATGCAAAAGTTATCAAGGGCGACAACGTTTTCGGAAAGCTCAGCGAGAGCGGTATCATCACTCCTTTTTCTCTCATGATCAAAGCACTCTTGCGGTTCATTCTTCTGTACTGCGACCGTACGACAGAGTACAGGACGTTCGAAAACGACAATGTCAAGAGTAAAGCAGGACTTGCACCACTTGTCCGAGCTCTGAAAGCGATTGCCAGGAACACATCGGACGATGAAGATGGCGATGCGTCGACCACGGAAGACGTTGACGGTGCAACAGATGCCTCTGACCACGAGGGCGACTTGTTCGTGACAGATGATAACGACGAAGCTTCAGCCAGGCGCAAGGACACCATGGACGCAGAAGTCGACAAGGGCGCACCGGCGAAGAAGATCCGCGCATGCTAGAGGTTGCGGCGGAAGGCGTCAAGGCATTGGAGTAAGGAAAGGACACTGAGAAAGCGATGAACAGAGAGCTTGACGACTGCAGTTCTGCGAGGAAGATCGAGATGTAGTGGTTTATAAAAGTGAAAATTTATGCGCGATGTTTTTGGCGATTTGAGGTCAGGCTGCTGAGCCATTGCGGAGCTTGACGCGTCGGAGTCCGTCCAAGGAGCGTCGACCTGCTAGACGCCATGGCGGCGATTCATGGTTGAGGGAAGAAACAAACGGTAGTCATTCACGATCCCTGATGCCGTATGTGTGATGTTGTTTCGTGCATGTGAAGAGTGATGTCTTTTCGCGTTGTGAGCGCGAGCCAGACTTCACGAGCTCGGGAAGATTTGCCGAATGCACGTGATGGCAGCCTAGTCTGCTTTCGGTTGGCGCGCTTTCCCAGCTTCCGATCCCGCTGAACTCGTTGTTACCTTCATCAACCATAACACACTAATGTGCGCGTCCTCAGCTCAAGCTACAGCCTGAACTCTCCTACGCAGGGAAAGATGATCGCCTCCCACCCGAACTCACGATTCCGCTTGTGTGAGCTCAACCGAGCCAGCACCTAGGGGCTCAGGATTACAGCTATCGCGTGATATTATGCTCTGGCAGGCTCCAAATGCCTGTGTGCGGGCGGAGGGAATTTTGCCCGCCTTGAGCGCTGGGCCCATGTCAATGGTTTCTCCCGAGGTCTCACGGTGCCGACTTGGGTACCCACGACTAATCACATGCGATCGCCGCTGACGCGTTAGTGTTACGGACGTAGCCATTGAAGTACCAAACCCTAATGTTTGAACGCGCTACTTCAATGACGATCACGTCGATGGGAAATATAACATCTATTTCGAGCTGAACGCTGCACCATAACCAGTCATTCCTGTTATACTTATACTGCTAACAATGCCGATTGAGTCGTCATACCCGCCCATTACCATACCCGCCGTCGATGCATGGACGTATTTTCTCGAGCGACCGGATCGCGAGTACCCGGATGATCATGGTATGTGTTCAAACACGTCTGTCAAGCGATAGCTAACAGGTGCAGTGCTCTTCGTAGACATTGCCAGCGGCCGAAAGCTCACATATGCTGATTTACGGTCCACCGCGGAACGGTTCGGGCAGGGCCTCCAGAAACAATGGCAATGGCGCAAAGGCGATGTTTTGGCAATCATGACGCCGAATGATATCGATGTCGCGCCTGCTACATTCGGCGTCTTACTTGCTGGAGGTGTCGTGTGTCCTCTAAACTTCATGTACACCGTCGATGAGCTGGTGTCTCAGTTGACATCTTCGAAAGCCAAGGGACTGTTGACAAATGCGGCATGTCTTGAGGTCGCTTGCGAGGCAGCATCGAAAATCGGCCTTCCTCTGGATCGTATACTTCTGGTTGGGAGCAACAAGCCTACAAAATCCGTTCAGCACTTCTCTTCTCTGAAGAGCGCGTCAGTCAGCATGAACCGAGTCAAAATCGACCCCAAAGAAGATCTGGCGTACCTGGTGTACTCTTCTGGAACCACTGGCGAGCCAAAGGGTGTCATGCTGACGCATCAGAACGTCGTAGCAAACAGCATTCAGGCTACGACGGCAAATGGCTACAACACCAACTGGAAGACAGACACGGGTATTGGCTTCCTACCCATGTATCACATCTACGGTAAGCTCAACGAGTTCAGAATCAAACACGCGCTGATAAATGCAGGAATTGCTACACTACTGCTAAACACCATCTTCTACGGCGTGACCAATCACATCATGTCAGGATTTGACCTCAAGAGATTCTGCGAGACGGTTGACAGAGAGAAAGTCACCATCGCTTACATTGTCCCACCCGTCGCACTCGCTCTGGCAAAGGCCCCCATTGTCGACCAGTACAGCCTCACGTCCCTGCGCGACCTGCATTCCTCTGCCGCCCCAATACCCGTCGAGATCATTACCGAGATACACAAGCGCCTTGGCGCTCAAATACTCCAAGTCTACGGCATGTCTGAGGCCGCACCCGCCGTGAGCGTGCAACGCATTGAAACCTGGACCACGGCGTTGGGCACATCCGGATGCTTGTTGCCCAGCATGTCAGCCAAGGTTGTGAGCGACGGAAAGGAGATGGCGATGGGTGAAGAGGGTGAGCTGTGTTTGAAAGGACCGAATATCTTCAAAGGGTACTACAACAATCACCAAGCTACGGCTGCTGCTTTCGATGCTGAAGGGTGGTATCACACAGGCGATGTCGCAAAGTTCGATGAACATGGGAATCTATACATCACCGACCGCGTCAAAGAACTCATCAAGTATAATGGCTTCCAGGTCGCGCCGGCGCAACTCGAAGCTCTCTTGATTGGTCACCCGGCGGTCGCTGATGTCGCCGTGGTTGGCGTGTACGATGAGTCGAAGGTAACGGAGTTACCGAGAGCGTATATCGTTGTGGCAGCGGGGTACAAGGGCGATGAGAATCTGGAGGAAGAGCTGCATCAGTGGTTCAACGAGCGTGTGTCGCCGCACAAGAAGTTGAGGGGCGGTATCCGCTTTGTGGAAGCGATACCGAAGAGCAACGCGGGTAAAATACTGCGGAGGATACTTGCTGAGCAAGCGAAGTCGGAAGAAGCTGGAAAGAGTACGAAAGCTCGTTTGTAGTTCTTTGAAGACACTACGTAGGGGTTTTATCGTACATCCTCTCTGGTCTTTGGGATGGTTATTCCAAGAACAGCCAATACAATTTGATAGATCTACAGCTTCGTAAAAAGCGTCTCCTTCATAGCCCTAACATCCAACTCCTGCGTCCACGTACTCCTCTGCTGCGTATGCAAGAACCAATACGTATGCGCCAAATCCCTCGGTTGAACAAGATGGCTGTCCACGTCCGCCGCCTTATCTGTCTGCCCAGTCCGCTCCCATTGCCTCTTCATCACACCGCCAATCAACTTCCCATCCACCGGCCCATCCACAATGATGTTCACAGCATGAATACCCTTCGCCTGATACTCGCGCGTAATGACCTGACACAGCGAGCGCAGCCCAAACTTCCCGGGTGAGAACGATGCCAGACCTGGCATACCGCGCAACGCGCCCGTCGCGCTGGTGAAAAGGATGGTTCCCTTGCCTGCGGCAAGCATATCCGGAATGACAAGCTTGCTCGCCCAAAACGCGCCGAAAAGATTGATCTTGGTGAAGTTCTCGAATTCCTCGCTCGTGGTATCAATGAGCGAACGCCCGTTCACGCGGCGCGCGCCAGCGTTGTAAACGAGCACATTGACGGGACCGAGCTCTTCGCGGATGCGCTTGAATGATGAGGTTACTGTGTCTTCGACGCGCAGGTCTGTGATGTAGTAGTGCGCTGTGCCCGTACCGACGTCGCTGTTGATGTTCGCGGCCATGGTTTGTAACGCTCCTTCTGTTCGTGCAAGGAGCGCGACGACGAAGCCTTCGGAGGCGAAGCGGTGGGCTACTGCTTCGCCGATGCCTGGGCCTGCGCCTACGACGGCGATGACGGGTTTGTTGGTGGTGTTTTTGGACATGTTGATGGTGTTGGCGTTGAGGAAGGCTTGTCAGGTGGGATATCGCGTCACTTGTCCTCACATCTTGTCGTGGAGATGAGTAGCAAGATATCTACTACCGAAAGCTTGTTGTGCACAGCTTGTAGGGCTGGTGCTGGTTGCATGATTAGCTCCGATGCGGGGAAGACGCGCAACGCGTTCCTCGGAACCTCGGAACAGGATGTTGACTAATCGCGCTACCGTACGTATCGGCCTAATTGTGCCCCATCAGCACAAAGTCCATCATCATCTCATTCCATGTTCATCGATCTTTCATCTCTACCAGGAGCATCGGTCCCTGCGGCCGAACCGCTCCCAGCAGCCAACCCGTCGTAAGTATGGCTCAAAGGAACGTATACACCGTGGTAGATATCCTCTTCAAAGTTTGGATCGCGTAGATCTTCATCGCTCCCCACAAAATTGCACTCAATACATTGTCTTACGGCCTTGACAAAGCTGTCGCTGGAAACGGACGCCAACTCATCGCAAGCTTTGCTCGCCGAGCGGTACAGCTCTTCAGGAATCGGGACATAATCGAGCATATCGGGCATCTCGAGTAGCTCCTCTTTGTTGACCTCAACCTCCTTTGGTATCTGGTGCCAAAGCTCGATGAGAACAACGCCCAATTTGAACAGATCCTCATGACGTCGGACGGCGCTATCCTTGATGTGTGCGCTCTCAGGTTCTTCATGTCCCGCAGAGATCGCGGCATCAAGTTTAGTGACGATGTATAGCTTGCCCAAGGTCTCGCTTGAGTCGTAACGCGGTTGCTGGAAATATAGGTCTCTGGGCCAATTCTTTCCAAGCCATGGCGATTTGTAGAGCTGTAGAAAACTTTGCACTAGGAGGCAAGCTAACTCATACTTTCGGACGCCCTCGATCATGCTGTTCGCTATAGCATTCTTTAAGCTGATCATGGAATTGTGTGGACTTTGCCCACTCGGATAGGGATCCAGACAGTAACGATGATCGGAGCCGTCTCGAAGAATAGTACTATCCTCTTCTGGTTGCCTGTCGGAATTTGACCAGACGTAGCAGTTTGCCTCTATGCCCCGAGATAGCCAATCAATGTTCTGTAGCCTGGTGCGGACACCAGTGCCCAACAGAACATGAGCGGGGGATTTTTCGCTCATAAAGACCAGCGAACTTGGTTGCTGATGTATCTTCAACGGTCGCAGTTGAAGCTCCAGATAGACTGCCGACTCATGTGGGCTAGGTTTGTTTTCTGGGCAGGCCGCACAGTACTCGAAACCGCATGTCAGACAGGGCTCACAGGAGTCAACGCTCGGCGCCCCCCATTGAGCACTATCACACTTACAGCATCTGTATGGCGCTTTCGTAAGACTGTAATTGTGTTCTTGATCAAAGTTCGGGTCGTTGTACCGCCTTTTCAGCGCATCGTGTAATTGCCGGAGACGTGATTGTGCTATGTGAATCGGGTTCTGATGAATGCGGACTTTCTCATCGTCCAGACTAAACGGTCTGATTACATTCATATCTGTCATAATCTGTTCGATCTGTTCGTTTGCATCTCTGATATGATCGCAGTCTTTACTGTACGCTGACTTTCGAAGAGACGCCGTTATTTGACGGTGAGCCTTAAGATCAGAGTCATCGATTTTGCGCTGTGCTTGCAGTTAGCATCCCTATCATTGGCGATGATTTGATACAGATCTTCTCATGGAATGAACACTAGAATGATGCAGCTTGACATCTGGTGCTTACCTCAAAATCAACGTCGAGTTCGAGTAACTCTCTTAAACCTTCCGCGGACCTGAGCCCCCTCTCGATAGACAAGCTGAAGGTCTGGTAAGACTGGCCCAAAGTACGTTTGAATTGCTCCTCCTCGTGAGAAATATCGTCCGTCTCCAGCATGTTGTTTACAAGCTTCTCATGTAGTGGTGTATCCAATGTTGACATCCGTTCGAGCGACGTTCGAAGCCTCTGGTCTTCTACTTTCAAGAGATGAATTAGATGTTCAATCTCACGGCGATTACTGACAACTCTTTTCGTCCTGTTGGCGAGACTCTTGTAGAAGTTCAAAGCAGAGGAAATACCAGATAATGTCGCGAGGTATCGTGCGGTAGCGCGCAGGGCGGTCAAGTCACCCTGGCCCCTTTCCCCATCGACAGGGTCCAACGAACCAGCAATTGATGAGCCTTCTCTCACTCGGCTCGACCCCCAACTACGTGTACGGTCATTGTTTGCGACACTCTCCTTCGAGTCCGACTCTTCTTCCTCTTCAAACCATCTCAGCGACAAGAATGCAAGACTTTTGAGGTGCTGTCCGATATGCCTGGACAGCTTTATTTGGATCAGATCCCTTGGTTTGCCAGCTCTGGGTCGATTATCTCGGCCCTGAGAGTTTTCTTCGGATTCTGGGTGCAGCCGAATCTCTGGCACATGAAACTTGACAGTACATTCCGAGGCGGCCGGGCTTTCAGAGCGAGCCTTTGACTCTGTGGTAGCTTTAGGCTCATCTTCTGAATGTGTTACGGCGGCAGCGTCGAAATTGCAGATTGGACAAATCCCCGGTTGTCGAGATGGTGAAAGAACATTGGTCCGGAGTTTGGCATCTATCGTCGATGGCGTAAGATCGTAGCTATGATCTACAGTGAGATGCTGGCGAAAAGCTTCGACAGTGTTGAATCTCTTCCGGCGAGACTGTTCTACCTGATCTTGATGCTGCAAGTCACAGTACCAGGTCTTAGGTTTGTGAACCAGCTCCGTCCAACGATTGGTATGCATTGCTGTCATATGCTTCTGCCATGCACTCATCTTAGTAAAGTAAATCGGTGGGTCTTGGCATTCTTCAGATATGCATGCGTACGGCTCCAAGTCCTTGTTGAAATGTGATCTACTTATGGTGAGCTTATACCATAATGACAGGTAACAGCTCCATAACAAACTTACCTCCACCATCCTTTGCGCTGGAGTCTCTCTGCTCGTAACTCTTCGAAACACCACTCACAGCGGCAGTAGGCGGAGTCTTCGGATGACTTTGGCGGTTTTGGGTAGGCGTGTGACTGGCCAGCTATCGAAGACATGTCCGTCGATCCAGATATGACACTCTGTTGATCCGAGACATCATCGGGTATCTCTACTGGTCGCAACGTTGAATGATCAGTGACGGATAAGTTGTCAAACGCAGTCACTATTTGTCGCTGTACGGGCGGTGATATGACTGGCCCCTCTGTCTGTACAGCTTCCTGGGGGAAATCGACAGGCACAGTTAGTGCTTCGTGGTTCCGTTGTTCTTCAACACGGGAATTACGATGCTGCTGTAGTTTTTGCTGGTGTCTTCTTTGATAAAGCAGGCGAAGACGCCTGAATGCGATAGACGAGCCCAGTTGTTTGGCGAGGGTCTCAGGCATAACAGGACATTGCCTCAGCACCAGCAAAACCGCAATGGCATCGAAGTCGTCTTTTGCAAACTTCTTGGCGAAATTCCCTACTCGAGACGTGACAGTTGAGTTTGAAACTCTTCTTACGGACGTTGCAATCCGTTGCAGCCTGTCAATAGCCTCATGGATACCTATGAGGCTAATTCTTGTTAGGGGTGGCAGGCTCGCTAGCAGCGCGCCGTGCTTCTCTGCGTCATAATCGTCGGCTGGCGAGTGTATTGCATCCCCCGTATACGCGTCGCAATCAGACACCAGATCTGTATATATTAGTTGCAATGCGATTAAACATGTAATGCGATGTCTTGCCTCGATTCAGGCACCTTGTTATGAGCGACATCAGTCGAACGACAGCACTCTGCAAGTTTGGACTGAATATCAGTCGCCGGTCCAGAGAGGACTCCCAATCTGCGAACGCGCCTGTAAATCCAGCCCAGACCTCAAATCGTGAATGGCAGTCGGCCAGGGCGCGATATAATGCTGTCTGAGTGTTCGAGGGTAGCGCGACCGCTAGGGCTTTTTGAAACAGCCCTTCGCATTCGGTGGCGAGTAAGAAGACCTTATTGTCGCTCATCTTGGTTGAAACAGATGATTAGTAGTTGTCTCTGGTGAATGAAGTTGTAGAGGCGGAACAGCGAAGCGGTCTTCATATCCATGGGTATTCTGAAAAGGAAGGTGGGGTGGTCACATGTATTGCCGGTTGGGAACCACGCCGCAATCCTGCTCGCTGGCTATCCTCGCGTCATCCATCACAACATCGGCGCACGATAGAACTACGACGTCTAAGTCCCTGTGAGCGTTTCGGAGTCTCAGCCATCAAGCGATAAATTCCATCACATACGCCAATGTACACGCCTTGATTCACGTGCGACACCCCGCCAGCTACCGACCTGCCACTCGAAGTGGCGATGTTTCTGAAAACCGACGACTATGAATCAGCGTGGCTTCTCTTTGACGACGTGCGGCCACTGTTTGCCGTGGAACTACCATGGCAAGCAAAGGGATCGGATGGTCGCGACGACGTTGACCCGTTAATGTCAGCGGCAGTCGACAATTTTGGTGCGTGCTTCACAGCCGACATAGAGTCCGCTCAAAGCCTTGTTCCGCCAGAAGGCCTTTCGAAAATGGAAGCTCATTCCCTTTTCGGAGCCCTTGTCGAGTTACTAAAGTTTTTGGAAAGCGTCGTGCGGGATGGAATCCCAGAACTAGGGGGTTCATCTGCAGAAGAGGGAGAAATGAAACCAAAGGTACCAGGATCGTAGCCCGCGTAAAGACACATACTCATTTGTACTATAGAACAACGATCGTGCGGATTCAGTGGCGGGATCTGATTCTTATTCGGCCGATCATGAACCAGATTCGATAACCTCGTGGTTGCAGAGTGTCCTAGGCCTCACATCTTTCGTAAACGATCGCGACGATCCACTTCCTCAAGTAGAAGACGTGAAGAGCTCAGCCAAAGTAAGCACATCCGATCTTGACCAGGGTCAGGTCATGTCCTTTCCGAAGCTTGGCGCTCTGAAAAAGACCATGGAAAAGTGTTGGCACAGCGGCAACGATGCTACCAAGGACTGCCGCGACCTGCTCATCCTCGAGCACAGCATGGATCATCTACGAGGCGGGCAGTACAAAGCTATGTTGTTTGTTGCATGCATGAAGTCTCTGAAGAAGCAAGAACAACCGAAAGGTACCAAGGATAAGCACAAGGCCACTGTTGCGGTCACTCAGTGGGAGAATCGCGCGCCGTGGAACTCGACTACTCGACTATTCGACGTTCTCCGGAATAAGCTACTTTCTTGTGCTTCGCATTGCGCAATGCTGCGACTGAATGGCTTTGAGATCGAGAATGTCGAACCTCACGGGACCTTCAGAACGTATCTCTCGCCATGCAAAGCCTCTGCCGCTTGGAAAGAAAGTACCTGTACTTCTATTCCCATGTAAGCTATCTAGAATCCCTCAATCATTCAGCACCTAATTCCCAATACTAGGTTTCACCAACCAAGGGGTGACTTCATTACTGACATGTGTAAAACCCTACGCTCTGATTGTACCGACCGGTCGGCGCCACAATACTTGCGTCTCCAGTTTGACAGCAATCACCTTTTCGACGCGACAACAATGGAAAAGGCACAACCCCATATCAATGCGCATCCAACTGTGTCTCTGAAATCATTACTCGACAATGGCCTGTTTCTTCCTGCACGCGAAAATGGTGCGTTTCCACCGAATGACAAGGCCGTACTTGCACTATCGCTGGCCCGGTGCCTACTGCACCTGTTCAGAGGGCCTTGGATGCAACGAGCATGGGATTGCGAGACCATAAACTTCCTCCAGAAGGACAGCGAGGAAGTTTTGATAGACATACACTCGCCCTACATCAGATGTTCGTTTGCCGACGCCACACCAGATTCACCTCCACACAGCTCTCGATGGATCACGGTCTCATTTGCCCGCTTGTTGCTTGAGATTGAGATCGGAAGATCCATTGAGAGCGTTGAATCTCCTACAGAAGCGGCTGCTGCTAATGGTCTACAACAAGTGCTCAAAGAGATCTTAGCAAACCTTCCCGATGACGGATATGCGCGCGGGCACTACATTAATGCGATCGAAGGGTGTCTTGGTTTCAACGAGCTATTATTAGAGGAATGTGAGAGGAGTAGTACCAAGGACCCTCAGTACCTGCCGACCAAGGTGCTGTACGACAGTGTGGTTGTGCATCTCGAGAGGAACATGGGATTAGTTATGAACCCGAAGGCAGCACTTATCCCAAGAGATCTCTCGATTCGTCAGAACATCACTATGCTTGCAAAAGCTCCTATCAATAGTCGAGCTTTTGACCATCAGGTGGCAGGCGACAGCATCGGGAACAACGGTGGACATGCTCGCAAACCAAGCTTAGCATCAGATCGTACCGACGAGGGCAGTCCCGCCGCCCCGCTCCTGACCGATGTACTTATGGATGGTTTCGAAGAGCTTGCAGCACATGGAGACGCCAAGTAAGAGTCTCCAACCCTCAGATATCACTCTATTAACAGGATCCAGGAATGCGAATCTAGCGCGCGGGTTCTTCACGAACCTAACAAGATTCAACAAACAGCACATCCCCCGAGCGTTTCCCAGAAACATCAAGAAGACCAAGGTCTGCATCATCGACACCGGTTTAGACCTTACCGATTCTACCGTGCGCAGCTTCAAGCGTAGAGTCGTGGATGGGCACAGCTGGGTCGATGATGACTCCAAGTCCTACCATGATAGATGTGGCCATGGCACGCACATAGCTCGCCTGATACTCAATACGTCCGTCCATGCGGAACTGATGATCGCCAAAGTTTCCGACGATAAGACCTTCCGCCTGGAAAGCATGCAGCATATTGCCTCAGTATGTGACAAACACGCAAGACGCAGCGGAAGCTGACAAGTGACAGGCTATTCGATGGGCATGCGACAACGATGCCGACATCATATCTTTATCGTTGGGATTTCGTGAAACTATCCCAGAGATTCGATCTGCGATCCGCGAGGCGATTTCACCCGAACATGACGATACTCCGCCCAGGATTGTTTTCGCCGCAGCGGGTAATTGGGGGCTAAACAATGGACTCGCCTTCCCATCCAACCAGAAGGGCATATTCTGCATCCTTGCATCCGACGGTAACGGATCCAGCGATAGCATGAACCCGGATAATGAAGACGGTGATTGCTTCAGAACTCTGGGAGTTGCAATCGAGTCCAGATGGCAGGGCGAAAGCATCCTCTTACACGGCACCTCATACGCCACACCAATTGCTGTGGGCATGGCAGCGAACGTATTGGACTTCGCAAAAGTGAAGCTGAGCCAAAAGCGCTGGCAGAAATTGACATCTTATCCCGGCATGCGAGCAGTGCTTCGCCTGATGACGCCGAAAGCCAAGAATCAGTGGTACCTCTGTCCGTGGCAGCTCGAGGTAAAAGGGTACAGAACCACCGAGGAGATAGCGCAAGTGTTCAGGGAGGCGATTGACCTGGGATAGTAGGAACATTAACCCCGCAACGAATGACAAGGATGTGTTGTGTGACGATTGGGCACATCTACATGACCGTGCCGCAACAATGCATACGCGCCGGGCTGTGCTATCATGAACATGTTGCGTCACCAACCATCACAACTCGCAGCAGTGAAGCGGCAGCAACAAGTCGCACGCGCTTCTTCGATCTTGAAACAAGGTTCGGTGCGTCCCTGGACTAAGATTATTTCCATCACAGCGCATACGATTGTCCAAACGGCCACTGTCACCGATCCCACCGTTGTCGACTTACCAACCCTCCAACGTAAACATCCAAAGTCCCTCGCGAGAAGACTTGAAGCTCAAGAGCAAAGCCCGAAAGACTCCCAACTCTCCCAACTCTCCCAACTCTCCCAACTCTCCCAACTCTCCAGGGTTATCAACCGTACCAACCGATCAGATCACCATGCCAACCCCCCACCGCACACCCCCATCCTTCTTCCTCGTCCCAGACGAAAAGATAAACTACGAAGACACCGTCCGCCTCGGCAACATCCTCTACCGCATCTCCGAACCCGACAACGTCCTCACATCGCACCCTCTCCCTTCTCCGCCCTCTTCCAAGACACTTCAAAACTACCGCATATCAACCGAAGCGAGTAAGACTAACAAAATCGGGCTCTTCACCAAGATCCTCGAACTCCTCGGCTTTGGCATCAACGCATCCTCGCGACGCGCAAAAAGCGACCAAGAAGCGTATACGATAGAAAGCATGACAATATCCACATTCACACCCTCAAAAGACTATCTAAAAGCCGTGGAAGAAGATTCAGATGTACAAGACACCCTCCGCAACACCCCCGACGCATCCACCTTCCTAATCACCGGCGTCGTTCTAGCCACGGGCGTAACATTCACCTCCTCCACATCCCGAGAAGCAGAACATGAAGGCAGCGCCGGGATATCCAGTCCAGGGCTTTCACTCGGACCGAGCGCGTCGCGGTCGAGGAAGAACGTGTTAGAAGTGGGTTATACGGATAAGGGCCCGGTGGTACTGGCGTATCGGGTGCAGAAGCTGGCGATGTTGGAGGGTACGGGGAAGATGGGGGCGGAGAAAGTTAGTGAGGGGGCGTATTTTGGGGCGGGGGATGAGGTGGAGATGGTGGTGGGGGTTGATGTTGAGCTTGATGATGTTGATACGGAGGAGTTTGAGATGGTGGAGGGGTTGGAAGTGGTTGATGGGGTTAAGTATGCGCTTTGGGTTGCTTCGTGAGTGCGACATCAAAGTGAAATGCAAATGAAGATATTAATCGTATGTTGCTATTGTGGCAGCTAATAGGCCAGTTTCGTCAACTGCCCTAATGTCGTATCCATCTATTCCAGTACATGAACATGCATTTGCTCGGTCATACTGCAGTAATGGGTATCGGTATCAACAGTGATCCTCCATGCCCGCCATCGTAGACAGGTAGTTTAGCTCTCGTCTCCACCATCGTATCCTCCACTGTATCATAACTTCTCTCGCCATAAAGGGCATATGCCATGTATCATCTTCGTACCATATGGCTCATACCAAACCATGACTGTCGGGTTCATATGCACCCATTCGCTCTTCAGTCAATCACGACCATAACCTTTGGCTTCTTCTTCGGACGTTCACGGTCTTCCGCGACGACCTTGGTGTGCTCCCTAATCTCTCCATCAAGGTCGTCTTCTTCGGTATCATCCTCGTCGTCGTCCAGGTCGACAATGTGCGTGCGCTTTCGGGAGGCTTGACTGGCACTTGCGGTAGACGAACTTCCACTATCACTTGGTGCTTTCGCGCCGCTCGTGCGGAGTGGCAAGGTGGGTGCCATGAAGCTGCGGAGTCCTTTGCTGCCAAGCGTCTCTAGAGCAGACTTGGCTTCCCCATTCGCGACAGCGTCAAGTTGCCGGTATTTGCGTCGAAGATCTTTGACATCGCGGTCGAGGTCGTATCTAGACACGTCGAGACCGTTGATGATGTGGAGATTCAGAGCGTCGGCCCGGTCATCTCCCCAGTACCAGGTGGCATCAGACTCCGCTGCTATACGATGATCGTGTTTCCGAGCAAAGGCGCGCGCCTCTACTACAGATTGCCGGCCAACGTCGAGTCCTGGAGGATTGTCATCGTCGGACTTGAGGAAGTAGGCCATGGCATCGCGCTCATGCAGGCGACCGAGGACGCGTGAGTAAGGTATTGCCAGTTCCTTATCGGCAGGATGCAATGGGTACCAGTCTGCGTAGTCGTTTGCAACTCGCGGAGCCTCGACGTTTTGCTCGGAAACCCACAGCTTGTTCGAGCGTGACCCGTCGCTCGTATATGCGGACCCGTATATCCAGATCTCAGAGTTGTATGGCCGTCCTTCGTCGTAGTCATTGTCAGAGGCCTTATCCAGATTGGTCCACTTCAATCGAATCGATTTGATGCTCATGACGTCCGTACAGCCAGTTTGACCAGATTGCTTGTTGGGCAGGAGACGGACTGTGTCACCCACGGCGAGCATCTCAGCACCAACGTAGATGCCATGGCAATATATGCTCGCGTTAGGCCAAGATCCTCGGAACCGATACTTGCCCATTAGAGAGAGCGTCGACATCAGGGCGAGAGCGTTCTTGACCGTGTCATGCCATCCTTCTTGAGGGATGCGACGCAAGAGATCTCTCCACATCATGAACGGGCTTGTCTGTCGCAACAAGACGTACTTGTGTCTCTTAGAAAGCGACTTGTCCGACTCATTAGGGTTTGGGATCGGTTCAACGCGTACACCTATGCTGGAAACACTGCGCTCCTGAGTAGAGGTGACGAGCTCAGCGACCGTGGTGCCAGTAGCCGGCTCAGTGACCAGGCCTGCCGCCCATTGTGGAGTACCCAGATGCTGCTTGCGGCGCTCATCGTACAGCTGGAGCTCGCCGGTGGTGATGTCTCGAACCAGTTCAACGGTGTCAGGCATGTTGCGTATATACAACACGATGTCCCCGATGCGTGGTATCCATTGCTCCTGGGTCTTGATGTCGTTAAGGAATTTTGTAAGGTGATCTTGTTCGGCTCGCCAGTCTGGACTTAAGGGCTCAAGTATGGGTTCGTCCACATCGCGATGCCGGCGAAGCTTATCGATGAGATTCCTGTAGACGTCTGGAGTGCCCTCACTGTCCACGTTGGTCGTGTCTAGACCCGGAGTGATCTTCTTCGGGCGACCCTTGTGCTGCAACGCCTGAATAGGAAGCGGTGCAGCCGGCAGCTGTTGCATGCGATGTGCGCTAGTAGGTCGACTCTGCACTGACACAGAAGAGTTCGACCTTCGCGAGGAAGCCACGCTCGGCGTTCGTGTCTGCGAGCTATTTGCTGAAGTCTTTGGGAGTATTCCCGCAGTGCCACTGCAAACAGTGCATGGACAGCCTATGTTGCTGCCATGGTTCTTCATCAGATGCTCAAAGTGAGGAAAGAATCGGTTCGGCGAATCGAATGCCTTCTTTCCAGGATGGCCATATAGGTATTTGTCGAGATGGCTTGGTTTCGACGGTCTGGGGCGATGCCAGAGGGTGTAACCGAAGGGAAGGTCCTTTAGGATGTAGTGCACACCTGGCTTAGCCTCACCTCGGCTCTCCATCCATTGTTGGCCAATCTTCTCCAGATACAGAGTCGGCGGATCAAGCTGGGAATGGGCTCCTGGAGGAGGCACATGGAGAGGATCGCCGTCCGAACAGCCGGGGACAAGGCGGACCTTGACTCGGTTGGCCGACATGCTGATGATGGTTGCTGAACTGCTGTAGCTTTAAACGGCTGTTAAGAACCAGGAAGTGGCCGCACGGTGATGCTGGAGTCAAGGTGCGCAGGGCGGTAGAAAAGGATTTTTCGATTGAAGTGCGCGCAGGTGTGCAAACGTCACGGTAGGCGAGAGCATGATTGAGGCAGTCGCGTTTGTGACGCGTCGGTGAAGCGCGCGGTGAGAGCGAGAGCGCGTGAGGAAAGCGCGTTCGACACTAGCGTCGCTCCTCATCAGACATCACAGTCTTGTAGTACCGCCTACCCAGGTGTCTTCAGCGTGCTGAGTATCGTCACTTGTAATTGCCACGGTGTATACACGCAAGCACGTGAAAGAAAGTCGTGAGGTGCAGCTCGAGGCTTGGCGGCAAAATCCCTCGGACCCGGATCCCTGGGCCGAATGCAGGAACAGGCTCCGAATTTAGCGACTTGCGACCCCCTAATCACTCAGCAAAACAAACACCGCCCGCGAAACGAACTACCAACGTTACTACCAACAAGCTTCACTCGTGCGACATCCCTCGCAGGGCGTTGAGACTACCTCAAGCCCTCGGAGGGTGTCTTTGTCTCTTGAACCCCAGATGTCAAGCACGCCATCATCCTGTCTGCATAAGAGCTCCCGTCAAGCTCTCATGATCTGCCCATGCATGGCGCACCCGTTCCCGACGCAGCACCGTGCGGCTCCACCGAGAACCAGCTCCATGAGTGATGGTCAGGAGAATGGGGTGACCACCTAGCCTGTTGCAGTCTACCTCGATACTATAACGGTCGCTAGCGCGTGATATCGCGCAGGCCCCATACGCTCGAGGCCTGAGGAGGATCATGTCAACAAGATTCCGTCTCGTACAAGCTTTCGAGAGCTGTCATGGCTCAGGCGGGTGCGTCGCGCCTGACAGCCGTGGAGGGAGGCTCCTGTTATCTTCCTCTCACCTCCCTACCCCCATCGTCTTCGTCATCAGCATCCCTACGCTCCCAGGCTATAGCGCGCGATATAGCGGCAAGCCACCCGCAGAGCGATAGCGATCGTAGTCAGGAGAACTTGGACGGTTTCTTTTGACACACAGAACACCATACACCGCGAGTCACAAGCAATATAGCCCACAGCCTCCGATCCAATGAACTTCTATCGCTCCAAGCGCGCAAAGGCACACTATGAGATCGGTGACGACCGGCCGGCAAAGCGCATCTCGACGCCGGCTGGCCAGCGTCTCTCCGTAATCCTCGACGCCAAACGAGGCAAGTCGGCTTCGTCCAAGGCAGCCGAAATCAGCGTCACCACCGAAAGCACATTCTGCAACGACCCGTCACATCAGCATGTCGGACCAGTACAACACCACCGGGTCGAGAAGAAGCCTGGCTTCATCCAATCGGTCTTGACGGGCGGCAGGTTGCTCACGCCAAGGGAAAGCAGCGAGGACATGCACAATGGGAGCAATCTCAGTGTCAGCGTGTGGAGTGACCGGGATGAGGAGAAGTTTGGACACGTGCGGCAACGGAGACAGAGAGGATGTGCTGCCTGGGGATGGAAGAAGCTTGCCGTGGTCGCCGCCCTAATCATTGCGCTGATCGTAGCATTGGGCGTTGGACTCGCGTTGGGACTGAAGAAGGACTCGAAGAGGTAGGCTAACTTCATGCTATCATCGATGGGATATGGGCTAACAGTTACACAGCAGCGCGCCCGCAGCGAACACAGGCGGCTCAACGACACCAGCAGGCACCGATAGCAAGCCCGACTCCAACTCTCCCTCCACGACCGACGACGATCCCCCATCTGCAGTCACCACCTCTACACCCTCCGCTGTCCCCTCGAACTTCCCCATCGGAAGCTGGTCCTTTGTGCTCTTCCTCGACACCGTCACAACAGACTGCACCTCAGACGCAGACACCTGGACATGCCCGCCGAACACAAACTACTACGACGACCAACAGAAGGCCCTCACCATTCTGAACTGGGACATCAGCGGATCTGCAGGGTCTTGGAAGATTTCATCGGGCAAGCAGGACGACACATTCGACACCACATTCCAGAACGAAGACCTCGAGTTGCTGGACGCCGGGAAGGACACGGAGCGATACCGGTTCCAGATCACGCGGTCCAAAACTGTCAACATGACGGGAAGCCTTGGGGGAAAGAGAGGCGACTTTGAGTGCGACTACGGTGCGACAAACATGCAGGGCATCTTGTACACCAAGATGCAGCAAACGTACCCAGACGACACAATCGCAGTTGGAAAGGTCGCGAACAAGGCGTGGCCATACGGTAAGCACCACTAGCAGCTCTCATCTCACGTACAACAACAACTAACTTGAAATAGCCGTCAAGATCGAACAAAGCGTAGCAGGTGGACAAGGAGTACCGGCTTGCACGAGCTCGTCAGGTGACGACGTCAGGCTCAAGCCTCAGATTGAGAGCACGTTATGTTCTTGTTTCTACAAGAACTTCACACCACCACCCAAGTCATAAACTCAATTCAAGTTTCTTTGTCTATTGTTGTCATCTAGCGTTTCCTTGCATCATCGCTCTACATTTACTTATCGAGCCAGGCGTAACTAGCATAGCGGGTTTTACTCTACACTGAGGTAATGATAGTGGTTCTTCCTCAATCAGGTTCGAAGTGCCTTGTTGTGTCTTCTGCTAATTTGATAGCTGAATGTGTGAGCTAGAAGGATGCGACGCATGCATCTACCCTCACCGGACTTCACTCTAACTTCGCAACACAATAGGCAATCGCCACGTCAAAGACACCCATTGTTACGCTGCACCGCAAAGATACCACAGTAACACCTCTCGGTGTCTTTGTTGCTCCTGCGCACCACAAATACAACCCTCCATCCAGCTGCACGCTCCCACAAACTGCCGGATGCGGTCCCGCACCAACAAAGACAAAGCAACCACCGTAGCCATACAACATACAAGAGCCGGTGACGCTAGACATCGCATTCATGCGACTGACCCTTCATTACGATCAAGGCTAATTAGCCAAATCTAACATTCAGCGCACATCCTCACTCCTCCGACGCAACCACCATCGCGCGCGATGTCCTTCCTCCACAACCTTTTCAGTTCGCCCGGTAAACACCCACCTCCCAAGAAGCGTAATTTACCAGATCCAGATACAGATATAACGCGCTCGGGTGAGAAGAGGAAGAGAGAAGCGTATGATCCGGAGGAATACCAGAATGCTGTTTATGCTGGTGCGGGTACGGTGGCGGTGGGTGGAGATGATGGGAATGAGATGGATGGGGATGAGCTGGATGAGGAGGTAGCGGCAGCGTGCCAACTTCAAGACGAAGCTGAATTTGAAGCTGGTGTTGAGATTGGAGAGGATGATGATGGAGATGAAGTTGACGATGTAGATGAAGCCCGACCGCACGCGACGCCCAAATCTGTGCGCAAACTTTCGCGCGATCTGTACAACGCGGTTGAAGCGCGTGGGACAGGTAGTAGGACAGGTAGGACAGAGCCACACGACAAAGTAGGGAAGACGCTGGCGAGTACAAGCACCAAAGTAACCATGTCGCCGTCGCCGTCGCCATCAACATGCACAGGCAGCGAGACCGAGAACGAAGAAGACGAAGCGATCGATGAAAAAGATTGGTCTAGCATCGACGACGACCTAGAACTATCGTTTTCTCCCACCACTTCGTCGGCTGGACCTGTCATTACTAGTATGGGCGAGATCGAAGTAGACAGACTCAAACACACACCTGTTGGCAAACAACCTAGACCGCGGGCTGGGGCTGTTGGATCAAATACTACTACCACACGGCCTGCAATGACCAGACCTTCATCTTCATCCGCCAAAGCCATCACCAAACTCACCACACCACAACTACAATCACCACAATCAAAATCACAACCACCATCCCAACACACAATGACGTCCCCCCTCCCCATAACCCATCCAACCCACCCCCCAGGCTTCGAATATCCTCGGAATTGGCACGAACAGACACCCGCCGACAAATGGTCCGAGCAACCCAACCTACGCGCCCGCGAACTCCACGCTTCACCCCGCCTCATCCGCGCAGAACTACCCTCTGAGCCAGACTACGCCTTCCGCGACGCCGAGATAAGGGATGGGTTGTGGAGTCTCATGTCCTCCGTCGAAGACTTTGCTGAGAAATATTTTTCGAAGGGTGCGCATGACGGCCGTACGACGACGGACAAGAACGGGGATATCACAGTGAAGAAAGAGTGGTTCAAAACCCTAACACCAGAGACAACGAAACTAATCAACTGTGTGGCGAGTGGAGGGCCGAGTGGACTATGGGGGTGGCACGATCTTTTTGTCAACAAAGAGAAACTGCGTGCGTTGGTTTGTGGGATGATTGGGAATGTGTTGAGTGAGCAGGTGTTGCAGCATGCGTTTTTTGGGGGAGGGGAGGAGGGTGTGGCAGCTTTGAGCAAGGTGCAGAGGGAGGGGAAGGATGAGGATGGTAAGTTAAGTTTGGTTTTGTGGTGGGAGGACGGGGATGGGGATGGGGATGGGATGGGATGGGAATGAGAGGAGACTGACGTGAATCCAGGATTTGAGAGGAATGCACGGTATGCAGCGACGATTCGTCAACACTTGCCGACTCCGACGTCGTTGCCGGAGGGCTTCAACGCCCACGTCAACACCATCATCGGAGCACTATGGATACACCTCTCACCTCTCCTCTCACTAGTCCACCCACCTGCCCACCCCGCCTCTACACCACTACCGATCCCCGCTCCGACACTCAAAACCGTCTTCGCTGATCTCCGACGCCTCACCGTTTCCGCAGGCCTCCTCACCCTGCACATGCACCTCGATCCGCACACAGTATACCACCATGTCCCGCTCTTCAAAGAAGATAACTATGATTCATCGGTTATGGAGTGTTGGAACGACCCCTCCATGCGACAAAGAAATATGCGGAATAATTACGAAGACGTAGACGAGGATGAGCAGAAGCGGCGTGATGCGTTGAGTGAGACTGAGAAGAAGCGTGCGAGGGGCGACACGGCGTTGACGCAGATCCTATGTTTCAACGGGGTGACTGCGTATCGGAAAGGTGGGTGGGAGGTTGGTTCGTCTACCGCTAACAATCCCGTCTACGAAAAAGGAGAGTACAAGAATATGGGTGTGAGAGTGCGTGTACTCACACAAGGCTTGGTGTATTGTCGTTGGGGACGGGCGCTCAGTTCGCAAAAGTCTGCTTCGATGGATAATGAAACCGGGAAGAAGATACATGGGGATGCGTGGAGAGAGGGTGGGTTCATGCAGTTTACGAATGTGGAGGGTGTGTTTGATTGGTTGGGGGTGGAGAGGAAGGAGAAGGCGGATGCGAGGAAGGGTCTTTTGGAGAGGATGGCTGAGAGGGCGGACGCCGCTGCTGCTGAAAAGACGGTGCTGCAGGCTGAAGGAGTTAAGAAGAAGGGGAAGGGGAGGAGGAAGCCGCGTGGGGAGATTGGGGACTTTGATCCGGATCGTTGAGTTGAGCTAGCGCTTGGTATGACAGTCATGACTAGGTTAGACGTCTCTTTTGGCTATCTTTATTGCTGGTTTGTGTAGTATGTGATGTTCGCATTGTTGTGCTTTACTCCTGCTTTTCACACAGCCTGTATCTGTTGTCGCACACCAATCCTTTCAGCCTTGCCAATCCGGTTGGTTCGTTTAACCGGAGCGACCACCAATCGCAGCCAACGCGACCAGCCACAAAAGCATGATGATGTCGATTGCGTACTTTGATTGCAGGAGCAGCGCGCCAATGAGCTTCGATGGAAGAACCTGCTGCCTTGGGCCTCTCGCGTTTGTGCCCGCTCACCACCTCTTCGACATCACGATACCAACCAGCGATGAGTGGGTGACTTTCACCCGAGGTGCATCAGACCGATGACCCTTTCTGAGGATCTCCGCGCGGCAGGAGTGACCACATACAACACTGTCAAGGATGTTCCCTACGTACGAGACGACTCATGGGGTTCCTTCAAAGGCTCCTATGGCACGGTCTATAGAGCGACAACGAGGCGCCTCGTGGGCAAGGGACAGGTTTACGCAATCAAAGAGATTCAAGCTGTGTCGATGAAGGATCAACTGACGGCTGCCCAAGAGATCAAGTTTCTGCGACAGTTCCGGCATCCCAATATTCTCGAACTCGAGGACGCTTTCGTTATTGATCTTCCCGGCCATCACATGCTGCATACAATCCGCCTGGTAACGAAGCCATGGGCGCATGTATCTCTGCATCATTTCATCCAGGATCTCACGAGCTCGTCCGGCTCTTCGACGATGTGCCCCTGGTTCAAGCCTCAGGAACTAGACCCCTGGCCGAGTATTGTGCGACAGTGTCTGAGCGGCCTCGTCTACCTTCACAGCCAGCAGCCAAATCCCATTCGGCACAAGGACATCAAACCCCATAACATCCTCCTCTATGCCGAAGTTCAGAGTTCTGGAAAGCTCGAAGTCCGTCCTATAATCATCGACTTTGGAATCAGCAAGGAGCATATCGATGGAGCTACGACAGCGAATACTGGGACTTACGAGTACAAAGCACCCGAGCAAATCAAGAACAGAGAACCGACTCTAGCTTCTGATGTCTTCTCTCTCGGCTGTTGCTTCGCTCTGATAGAAAGCATTCTCAGACCCTGGCCGACCCTCCTAGACGTATATGACGCAGCGATGGGTACTGATAGCTGCCAATTCGCGAATAATCTTGACCTAGTTAATGGGATTCTACAAGACCGCCTGGGTTCAGCTGGTCCAGTCAGTGATGGCTTGGGATTCTTCAGCAGCAAGTTCAGAGGACTGATCTTGAACATGCTCGAAGAGCGGCCTCTCTCTCGACCATCAGCGTCCGGCGCACTCGATGCCATCAGGAAGATTGAGCACAACCTTGCCCGCTTTCTGGATACTCCCACACTGGAGCTTTGTATAACGCTACGAGGAAAGGCCACAATACTGGTTGAAGTCGACCTTTCACGGCTGAAAACAAGAGGAAGTTTATTGCAAGAACTGAATCGTCGATATAGAGATGCCGCTAGGCGCAGCCACTGGAGATTCGCTATGCCCTTCTATAGGATTTCCGTTCTTGGCTACGTTCAATTTGTCATCCAAGATTTCGATTGCCCGATTGTCCGTGTTGCATCGCCTCAAGGTTTAAACAGCCACGCTTCGTGTTATTCCACCCAGCCTGAGGCCTTCCTACCCTCGGTTGTTCACTTGGCTCATTTGATATGGGGTTTTGCGAGCGACAGCCGTACCGATAAACATCAGAACCTGTATCTCGAAACAGACATGTGCGAACTAATTCCAAAGAAGTTTGGCCAAAGCTCTATGGACCAGTTGAGGGATTTGCGGACTCCGGTCACTGGATTGGGTCTGGGAGTTAGAGAGGATTTGGATCAGCGTCTCATTTATCGTCTCATCTTTACCCTGATCTTCATTGGTAGCGTTGCCTTGAGCTATACAGATCTTTCGATGCTTCTCTTAGCAACTGATGCTGTATTGATGCTGAGCTGGACTGTCCAATACACTCAACGAGTAGGCAACTTAGAATTGTACCGGTCGTGATATGTAAAGCATACTATTGCAACAGTGACACAGCGTGGCGAATGCGGAGATTATGCAAGAGCGATGTCAAGAAGTCCCTGCAATGAATGTAACAATGGTGCCGTGGGATGTCGCAGCAGAGATGAAAGAGGACGGTTTGCGGATGGTGTGTATGAGAGACGTTTGAAATGTAGGAATGATGAGATAGCACTCCCAAATTAGTCGTTGTGAAGGTAAAGCAGAACTACCAAGGCAAGTTGCAGGCGCGCGACGGTTGAAGAATCTGCCCCGGACCATTGGGTTGATGGTAGCTTCGAAGGTCTGCTATTTTGAAACACGAAGAGTATCGCCAAGTTGTACGCTGAGAATCCCACGTGATTATGCGTTTGTGGTCAAGCGCAGTCCGGGGTTGGAGTCTTGTCCAGGCTCGCACATCTAAGGCCCGCACATCTTAGGCCCGCGTAGCAAATACTCAACGAGGATTTGCGGAGATGAGTTGCTGAAGGAAGTATACGGAGCAATCCACCTGGAAAATGTCCATTTAGAGAATGGGGTTGAGAAATGTTGGCCGTGCTTTCGAAGCTCCGAATACCGGAATGCCGTGTACGATGGCTGAGGATACCCCTATGTCGAGATGAAGACATGTCCTTATGACACACTCTCATCGTTGTTGTAGCATCGTCGCCTGGTAGTACTTCGGTCGTAATGGGTCTCTTGCGCGTATGGTCGTTCCACACAGATAAGCATCTCGGTTTGTCGCTGTTGACGGATCGAAGGGCAAGAGGTAATCGGGTGTTGTAATGAGCACACGTGTCTTCTGATGTCAAAGACCGTCCGTGACCATCAGGGTGAGCGAAAGAAGTCATGTACACAGCATTACTCACGAAGCCTGACGATATCGACGATCATCCAATACAAATGATTCACTTCCAACGTGCATCCCACCGGGTAAAGCAAGCCGGACCTGCCACATTACGCCTGAACGATCGTCGAGTACAAATTCCCATAGTATACCTTTTCGGAAGGTCAGTCCCTCTGGAATGTGATTGCGGTTCCGAGGAGCATCGACTGATGAGTGCTGCATCTTTCGTCACAAAAGCCAGGGTTTGGCGGGATGACATATGCCACGCCGCACACATGCGCGACAGTGACGCGCGGGCTCGCATATCAACACACTGGATGTAGTCATCCCGAAGTGCGGGAGGAAGCTATTACTAGCATATTGCCGATCAGGTAGATAAGGTCGGCCATGCTCGATCCCATCGCCTCTAACAACATCGTTCGCGGAGCAGTTCGCCAGCGTTAGGTTCAGCTGCCTAGAGGAACGATTCATCCTGTCGAGGTTGACGTCACAAGGCTGATCGTGCGCTCGTGTTGCCCATGGATGTAGGGCCGAAGATGATGTATTTGACCGAACACAACATCACAACGTCTCAGCTGTCCAGGGCCGGAATCCTTCGATTGCATAGTCGGAGAATCTAGAATCGGTATTCCGATGTCAATCCATGCTGCACATCTGTTCACGTCAACATTTGATCTCTGGCAGTTGCCGAATGTGCTCTGCGTGTATGGTAGCGGCCCGATAACGTGACCCAAGAAAGGACCGAGCCCGCGCTAGAGGTTCTAGCGTTGAAGCTTGAAATCATGCATGGCGCTGCAGGTGGAGGTGTGGAGATGGCGGATACAACGTATTAGACAGTGCAGTGTGGGTTCGAGACATCGTGTGAGGCGCCACAAGCGATCATGTTTCGGACAATTTCATGAAAATTGCGACTACCGAGTGGGATAAGTGATTATCCGTGTTGCTTGGTGTTGCATTGTCGACAACGTGACAGCGAGAGCTGAGCCTTTAAGCGAGGTGAATTAGACTACTGACGTTAGACGATAGTAGCACGGGTTGCTATGGTCTGCGATTCGTCCCCTGGGGTAGGCGTGCCTGACGCCAAAAGCAATGACGCGCATATTGTGAACATGATGAAGGGCCGTTTCTAACCACGTAGTGTCGCAACGTTGGACACTGATGGATCCGATTCCGGGAGCGTTTGGGGCGTTTGCGTGTGCCATGCGCTGGCTTCATGCCTGCGTGCTGGAGTCGTCACAGATGTTGGTACAGAACGTTCGCTTGATGTTCGGGTCAGTCTACGTCGACGTACTTGGATACCAGAGTTACTTTTTACCCCGCAATTGGCATGACAGTGATCTTGTCTGGAGTTGTAGCCGTTCTAGCCGTTACCCCAGAGTGTCTACCCATGGTACTGTGAACCGGCGGAAAAGAGCCATGGTGCAGTTTGGACATTGATAAGATCGGAAGATGGTATACATCTGGAAGCAGCCTAGGAGATGATGCACTGTCGTGCGCTACCGGATAGCAGACGTTGTTATACCGGGTACGTCACGGCGGCAGTTGGCGGTGAAGGCTGCTAGCCAGGATTGGGGCTGGAGTCCTGATGCGATCTTGGGGCATCGTGAATCTGACGATGCGTCGCTCGCCACACTTACTACAAGAGTTGTACCAAGATGCGCTCGTCTCGGGTCGGGAGCGACGATTCAGCTGACGGTACCGTGCGTGGCGGAAGAACGCTGGATTGGTGGCTGGCAGCGTGAGCTGAGACGAGGTGCCTCTCAGGGCTGGGGCCGTCTGGCGATGGATGGGCAGAGTGGGTGACGTCGCCACCCAGCCGTGTGTCTGGCTCGCAAGTCGGAAGTTGCACCGGTTGTGCCTTCCGCCAATAGCGCTTGGCGGTGGTGCTGTATACAAGCGACAGCGGGAGAGCCGCGCCCCAACGGATTCCGCCCTCGCCGAGGAGGCCAGTCAGCATAAGCATGACGAGTGCAGGCGCGTACCGTCGGTGATATTTCGAAGACGTCGTAATCCGCGGGACGACGTCTTTGGTACGTGTTTCGCTGGGGCGGTGATGAGGTGTCTGGAGTGACACAGCAAGTGGGATGAAATTGGGACTGGTGTAGGGCGGGATCCCTCATTGAGCACGACGTGGGAGAATGAGCTGCTGCAGGGTCCAATGAAACGAGCGCTCACGACGTGAAGCGAGCCGGGCGTGACGTTTGCAAGGATGGCTGGCCTTGGGTAGGGCAGACATAGTTGCGGTATGAGAAGACTCCGGTGCTCGGTGCCCGTCACGGGACAGGCTGCATGTTTCGAATATGCAACTGACGGAAGTTAGGAGTTGGAAATGAGGCTTGTGAGGCGGCCGTGGGGGTTTGGTGTGTGCTATCGTGTCGTGGTTGGTGGACGAGCACGACATTTCGGGTCGTCGGTAGCTTCAGCTATAGCAGTCAGGCAGTCAGGCAGTCGGTGATGCAGGCGGGTAAGCGACAGACTCGTTACCCCAGACAGGAAGACCATGGGGTAAAAAGCAACGCAAGACCTGCCGAGTATTGTCGCGGTGGTTAGTGATCACAGCGCTAGGTGCTAGAGGTGCAGTAACTTTGAGTTTGAGAGTAGACGATACTACATGTAGAGCATCAATAGGCAAAGGCATGTAGTCGTCCCAACAGCAGAGTACGTACCGCATGTAGCGCAGGCTAAGGGCAGCGGCGGCGGTTAGTTGAGTGCGTGTGTAAGAGAGCCCAAGAGAGTCAAACAGCCGAGAGCAGTCCGGCCAAGACGATGCATTCTGCCGACCTGGCCGAGCAACATAGTGACGGTTCGAAACGACGATGTCCATCGCTGGGGATGCTCGCGAGCGGGCTGGTGTGGCTAGGCAGGCGGGTAGGGATGAAGCATGTTGGGCGCGATGCAGACCAGGACCCTTTGAGTCGCAGCGAGCAGCCAGCGGAGCAGAGCCATGTTAGTCATATTAGTGTGCGGAGCAGGTGGAATTGCAGGGCAGACTGCAAGTGATGGTGAGTGCATGGGCGTCAGCGGCGGTTCGCACGAGAGATCATTCAAAAGCTGCTAGGTAGGGTAGTGGGAGACTGGGAGTGAAGAGCCAAGAGCTGGCCCGGAGCAGACTCGGGTATAGGATGGTTCGCGGCGAAGGCTATGGTGGTGTTGCCTGCGCCACGGGCAGGAGCGACCGACGGTACTTTCCAGTTGGCCAGGGCGCCACGCACGATGGCTTCTAGAAGAAGTTGTTGGCGATGCTACTGCGCTGGGCCAGGGAAGCCTGCGTTGGACGGCGACGAGTGCTCGCAGACGCAGACGCAGACGCTTGGAGTCGTCTCCATGCTCCGGCTCTAGTAGGGGCGCGTACCAGAAACCATGTGGCCGTGCGCGCCTCTCTCCCAAAGTTGCCTCGGCCGGCAGTGCCGTATTTCAATCACGAAGCCGGCGCTGGCCAGGCCGAGAGTCCACGGGTCATAAAGCCAGTATATGTTAACGGGCAGCCGTTGCATCGCTGCATCTGCATTCCGCCCATCGCCCCGTCACTCGCATCGCATAATCCGAGATCGCCCTTCGTCAGAGTTGCATTTTTGGCAGGAGCGACGCATACAGAGCACAGTAGCGCCAGCCCGCAATTGGCCGTATCCACCCACCGTGCAGGGATCCTCGAGGTCGGCCGCTCTGCCCATACTAACCCTCGTCGTCACCGCTCCCACTTGCGCATATAATCTACCGCGCCCCGGCACGGCTATTCCACGTAAATTCACTGGCATAATACTGAGCATATCGACTATTCCAGTTACACTCAAACACACTTGAACACCATTATTATTCGGTGTTCTCATTTTCACGACCACTGCCGACAACGCCACACACCCGCACAGTCATCTGAAACTGCGCCTAACGAGTCGCCGTTCCACTAGCATTCGTCCCCACTGCCTCTCTACCCTTCACCTCGCCCACCGTGAAGCTGGATTCCTACGAGCACCCGCCACCCCTCTCCCACTCGCCGCGCGAATCCACCGCAGCGAGCACGCCCATCTCCACGCCTGTCGAGCAGCCCGCATCGCCGCAGTTTGGGCGTGGGAACAAGGACCCGAGCGCCGGCCTCCACCACCTTTGGCACCGCAAGCCCACGGAGCTTGTGGCCCGCCGCCAGCCCGACGAGGACGTGCTA